TGAAAGTAAGTGAACAAATAATTAGGAAAATAAATCCCTCCTTAAAGTTCACACTATGTAAAATGTTGGAGAGAAAAAAGTTGGAACAAGAAACATTTAAATTTCTTAGCTGGCCTGAAAGTTTTTTTGTTCAACACCATGTGACATGGGTGGAGAACTCTGGTCATAACTGGAAATTTTTCACTCAGCATCATGCAGTAAATTAAAAAAAACGTTATAAACCATTCCATAACCTCTACACTTTATGGGCCATGTCATAAATTAATTTTAATAGTCATGCCTACTCTAGAAATAAAGAAGGTCGCGTTCAACTGGGACAACCCTTGCACATGTAATCCTTCAAAAATATTAAAAAAAAAAAATTGACTCCATGTTGAATATTCATCCCATGTTGGATCTTCCCATTAATTCATTCATTCCCTTGCATACATGACAAGAATTTGAACACGCCCCCCCCCTCATTTTTTTAATGGGAAGTTCAGGAGTCTAAAGACGGGAAAAGAAGAAGAAGAAGATGAAGGACTTGGGTGTCCTGGCCTTTGCTTATTTTGAGAGATGTGACCCGAACTACACTATTTGAGACAACGTATCATTTCATTGTAAAGTGGGGGGGTTCTTGGCTGGTTGTCGTGGGGCTCTGTGCTCTGGTCTTCTTCTTCTTCTTCTCCTTGGCATTTCTTTTTTTTCGGGTGGGTTTTTGGTTGGGAGGGCCACACCACACGTACACACCGGTGCCCGGGATTCGGTTGCCATAGGAGCCGCGGGGTCTGATCGATTAGTAGTCGGCTTTCATTCCAGCGAGGAGAATCAAGATTTCAAGACCCGTTTTCGCTGCGGCTCCAAGTCTAATATACGGTATTCTACTGTACTGTACGCGTATTCGCAGCACTGCTGGGTGCTGAAAATATGTGGATGTGTTTTTGATAAGGAGGAATAACCAACCCGCACCCCCAGCTTGTTGAGACAGCATGGTGGTTTTTTATCGATGCTTTGAATTTTTGTACTGTATATTCAAAATGTAATATAACATTTATGCGGCTTTTTGTTGAGGGAAAGAGCGAATGATGTGAGAGGTGAAAACTCAGCAAAGGATTTTTCCGATTTTTTTTTAATCAAAAGTACTCTTTACTAAAGTAGAACTTGAAATTACGGTCTCCTAGAGAGGACAAAATAAGGACCAAAATAAATAACGACACAAACTCAAAGACGTCTTTAAGAAAAATAAACAAAAAATTTACGTGATTTCAGTGTTTCTTCCTTGAATCATTTCTTTGAAGATCAATCATTTAAGATACATAAGAAAAGTTAGGAGCATTTATTAGAGTTGACCATGGAAATATACAGAGTGGGCCAAAAAAATTGAACCGATTTTTGAATTAGGATATCTCTGCTAAAAATTAAGCTGCAAGAAACCAAATGAAAGCTTATTCAATTTACTTTCAAATGGTTTATGTGTTCTATTATAATCATGTGTCATGAAATGGTCACAAAGTTTCATTCATAAGTGTCATTCAAATGGTTTATGTGTTCTATAGTCATAAGTGTCATCAAATTGTCACAAAAACCATTTGAATGAAGACTTTCAACAACAAAAAATGTTGTCACATCACTCACATGACTATTTCAGGTAAACTACTGTCTCCAAAACCTCCCAAAAACTACCTCAAGATTAGGCTAGCCCACATCAGTGCACCTGAAAAAAAATCCAAGATAAATACAGACAGGAAATGAATAAGCCCATGAAAACCCACCCTGGGCAAAAACCAGTAGGAAACACAAAAGTCATCAATGGGCATGCACACAAAAACCCAGTACCCAGGAAATCACCCCACCAGACAAACACCCAATCAGCTCACCCAACATTCATTGGAAGATGAGCTGGAAAAACCACACCTGGGTGGACAAAGCAATACCTAAAAATGCCGCCATGGCCCACAGAGAAAACATGTCTTATTGCTCCAAGACTTGAATGTTTTTTTTTTCTGTATACTATTTGGCTCAGTGGCAGTATATTTGCTTCCCAAGAGTTTTTGCACAGAGTATATGTTGTGTTTTTAAAAATAATTTTCTTTCAAGCCTGCGTTTTTTTCTGGACAAATTAGCATGAATCAAGTACTTTAAAATTATTATATACTTCTAGATTTGAAAATAAATAGGATCATCCCAATGAGCAAAAGGGTGGGAAAAACTTCAGAAAAATTTGCTCATATCCATTTAGTGAATTCATAGATATTATATTTTCCTCTCTGTTTTATATTTTAAGTTCCAGAATAAGATATATTTATTACTTGATTTTTGATTGGATTTATGTATACAATTTGGTTTTGATAAGTTCATTTAGGGGAGGATTTGGCAAATGACTTGAGAAACTGCATTTTTTTTAATTTTGCCCATATTTCTTAAAGAATTGACTCAAAGTTATGCGTTGGAAAAATTCTTAAAATTTCATTATGATCATTCAATATTTTATTTTATTCCGGACCTGCCATGAAAGTTGAAAGACCAATCAACTATTGAAGATATTTCTGCTTTTTCGAAGTTGTTCACGAATAGTCCTTTTGTCTGGTACGGGTTGAATAGGTGTTGCCCAAGACATGGACTTTGCACTTTGAGTCAACTAGATGTCACCCACAGTTGTGCCATGTTTCCCAGAACAAAAAAGTTTAAATATTACATAGTATCTGGAAAACATTACAAGAATGTAAACCTTCAAGAAGTATTCCACAAGGACCAAACCACCCTGAATCATCCTCATCAAAAGGATTACTCCGAATTACCTACATTCCTGAAGCCCGAAGAACCTTCAGGAACTTTTCCATAGGTATGGACCTGAGGCTGGGGGAAGCAAAATTATATTCACTCCAGTTTGGTCCTCAAGACCATGATCATCAAGAAATTGCTTTCTGTGATCTATTTTTAAAAACCTGAAAGAAAGCAAACAGTTTGTGATTGTGAAGACATTCCTCAGGCTGCAAACAGCTGATTGCATTAACCCTTTTTTATTTTTTGCTAAATACCAAACCATTGCCATTGAGGTCCTCAGGACCCCCAACATTGTCTTCATAATCCTTCCTGTTTATGTGCAATTATTCTTCTGGGTTAGGTTTAAGACGAGCCAAAAAGTCCACCAAATCTGTGTTGGACATAATTCAAGCAGTTCTAAAAACAAAGAATTTCCAAATTTATGAAAAGGTGAAATCACTCAGAAAACACAATATATAAATGAAGAAGGTGCATTCTATTGTATTTCGCTTCGTGAAATATTTCAGACACTTTCTCTTGCGGCGAATTTTTCACAGCATTGTGCTCAAAAGTTCCCGGAAAAAATTCCAGAGAAATAGTATTTTTCGCAAAATAACTACATCCCCAGTTGGAAATATGGAGCAAACTTCGAAAAAAATAAATGTGGATTCGGGGTATTTCCGGTCTGATTTACTTCCTTCCGCAGCAGGGCTTTGGTTTCGGCGGTGGGCAACACGGCTTGGGTTTGGGTGGTGGGCAACAGGGCTTGGGTTTCGGCGGTGGGCAACAGGGTTTCGGTTTCGGGCAACACTGACGATTTACTTCCTTCCGCAGCAGGGCTTTGGTTTCGGCGGTGGGCAACACGGCTTGGGTTTGGGTGGTGGGCAACAGGGCTTGGGTTTCGGCGGTGGGCAACAGGGTTTCGGTTTCGGGCAACACTGACGCTTTTCCCTCCTCACTTCCGAAAGTTTGTCAACGTTATTTGAATCATCCACTTGCTGCTGGTCGACGACTTGGGGGAAATTGAAGAATTTTGTCGCAGGCTCGACCAGCATGTTATTGGCACCCTCGACGTTGTATTGAATTTTTTGGACGGAGGCGTCTTTCGGTTGTTCTAATCGCTCCAGGAATTGTTGGAGACTTGGGGGAAATTGAAGAATTTTGTCGCAGGCTCGACCAGCATGTTATTGGCACCCTCGACGTTGTATTGAATTTTTTGGACGGAGGCGTCTTTCGGTTGTTCTAATCGCTCCAGGAATTGTTGGGTCATTTTGTAACCCAATTCGGAGAATTCCAGGATTTGAACCAAGGCATTTGCGAGAGTGTCACGACGCTGATAAGTAATCAACTCGCTTTTGGTATTTTCATCTGCAAAAAAATAAAAAATAAAAATGAATGAATTAATAGTAAGCTTCGGAATGATATTTTTTTTGAAAAATCAGTCTTGGAAATGACCCAAGAGGCCAAGAGTCATTTAAGAAAGTTCATTTTAATTTTCAGTAGCCTTATTTTCAGATTTTCAAAAATGTCATCTCTGTATCCTTTCTTGGTTGTGCAAAGTCATAAAAGCATTTTTTTGAAAGTTTAGACAGATTTAAACATATTTTAAAATAAAAATGCTCTCCAGAGAATTTTTCAAAAAAAAAATATAGTCCCAATCAATGAAATCCCAGAAAGTTCTGATGAACATGTGAGGCTTTCTTTCAATGAAAAGCGTCTTCAAATATTGATCTAAATCCCTGTGGGAATTATACATAAAATTTGTTATAAATTTTCTAGAAAAACAAAGTCTGTAAAATGTATTTTGTCAAAATACCGTTTGACGTCTGGTATAAATTGTTTTCAGCAAAAACTTATTGAATTGTATGCAACAAAAAAAAGATGGTGACCTGCTTGTCATTTGAAACTTACGATTTTTACTATTAATTTTATGTGAAACATCGCTTATTTTTTCTATTACAAAGTCTCACTTATGTTAATATTCAAAATCTAAAAAAGTAGTTTAGAGGTAATTACCAGGTTTCCTTTCCTTTCAGAAAAATATTTGGCGATTAGCTGCTGGTGCATGAAACCCCCTTTTTTGTGAGTACTTTTGTTATTTAAAAAAAAAATATCTTGATTCGAACGGAAAAAAGAAAATTCCTTCTGTGGAAATTTCAAGAAAACCTTTCGATAATACTCACGGAAAATTTCGTCAAGAAACATTTGGAGTGCTTGAAGAAGACTTTGTTCTGGAGCAGATGTCGCTGGTGCAATTGCTTGATGATGACCTGTTTCACTATTGATTTGTCCGTGTTGCTGATGAGGCACTGATTGTCTCTCTGGTCTCTTTTCCGTGTTATCATTTCCAGCAACAACAACAATATCACTCTTACCGAAGAAATCTGTTTTTCGCTCGTCGGGTTCTTGTTTTGTTGGCGACCCTGTAGTCGAGTCTTGCTTGTGGACTTGCTCTTGGTTCATTTGGGTTTCAATGTACTGGGAAATTATTGCCTTGGACAAGACTGGGTCGATAATACGTTGATCCAGACTTGCCTGGGTTGTTGTTGGTTCTTGGGTATCTATTTTGGATTAATTCAGGAATTATAATTATTAACCTTTTGTATTTTTGATTTCAGTATTTTGTTTTCTTGCAGACGAGCCGAAAAACAGAAATTCAAAGATATTTTCACGAGGAACGAAACACTCGGGGGGAAATTATTGGACCTTGGAAAAAACGTCGGCAATTTTTTAGCCACATTTTAATGATCTACTAATTTTCGAAAAAGTTTATTTAAGATCCTGATGGGGTTCAATTTCTATTGACAAGACACGTGAAACGACGTATAGAGCATGTTTGAAAGATTTCGTAAAATTAATTTTCTTTTAAATAACAGTTCCAAATTCACTGAAGTAAAATTCGACAGTGAATTATCGTAAGATTGCGTTTTTCAACAAAAATTGACTCTTGTAAAATTAAATCCAGAGCTTATGTAAAATCAGAGATTTTTTTCCAAAGATTGTCCGACTCAAATTTATTCGAATGATTCAATTCAAGCATTTAAAAATTGAGAATCAAATACTGTATATAGTAATTCTCAGTAATTTCTAATTTTCAGAACCGAGAAGATGAAGGGGTGAAGTAAAGAGGAAAATTATGAAGTCAGTTATTTAGAATTGCTTCAAAATCCGAGAACTGCGTTTTCTTGATTTAATTCTGGAGTCAACTGACCCAGAGAAACTATTTTGCATAAATGAATTATTTATACTGTTGAAAGTACTAAATTTCGCTCATTCAAAGTTTCTTGTTTGAAGCATGTACAGTACAGTACTTCAGTTGATTGAGCATCAAATATTCAGAAGATACTCCTCAGTACTTCTAATTTCCTGAATTAAGAAGAAAATGCCATAAATAAAGGGAAACATGATAAAGGGGGTAATTAACACTACTTTAATATCCCATAATTTTTTTCTTGATTAAGTCAGATTTCATTGGGACAGAAAAACAATTTTTATTCCTGAGTATTTGTGCTCCGAAGCTCACCAAGAATAAGAGCTTAAATTTTAGCTTAAATTTTCCATTTCAGGTTGATTTTAAAATTATATTTTTGTCTTCATAATTTTCATTAGGAAGTAATTATTTTTTCAAAAGAAAAAATCTTGTTCTATTTGTATTCGTCTGAATGAACAGAATTCGTGTCTCACCCGTGATTGGAATACTTTCAACCACAACAAGAAACACAAGCACCGACAAAATGCAACTTGCGAGCGAAATAATCGTCATGTTTGCACCGTCGTTTGCTGCTGAACCACAACGAATGAAAATCTGACTAAAAAAAAAATCAGTTGGAATTAGAATTTTAAAATGAAACCGTGTTCCAGATGGGAATCCAGCTGGTTTCTATTGGAGACTCAGAATGAAAAGGGTTGGGTTTTATACTAAGATTTTCAGCGCTATATGAAGTTATTTAGAAACACGAAGTTTAAAAAACATCGAGGAAATATACCGCCGAGATTTAATTCATGTCGCTGGCTTTTGAGTCGCTAAAAAGGTTTCAAATGCAAATTTTAAAATGAAACTTTGTTCCAGATGTGAATCGAGAAAGTTTACTGGAGACTCGGAATGAAAAAGACTGGGTTTTATACTAGGATTTTTCCAGCGCTAATTAGCGATTTAAACACGCAAAACTGTTGAAAAGCGANGAAGTTTAAAAAACATCGAGGAAATATACCGCCGAGATTTAATTCATGTCGCTGGCTTTTGAGTCGCTAAAAAGGTTTCAAATGCAAATTTTAAAATGAAACTTTGTTCCAGATGTGAATCGAGAAAGTTTACTGGAGACTCGGAATGAAAAAGACTGGGTTTTATACTAGGATTTTTCCAGCGCTAATTAGCGATTTAAACACGCAAAACTGTTGAAAAGCGAGAATATTTAGCGTCGAGATTCAATTATTGTCGCTGCCTTTTGAGTTGTTCGAAGTATAATTTTCCAGGTAGAATTTATATTTTTCTCCTACAATTTTGACGCTTATAATTCGGCGGCTTTTTTCTCATTTTTTTTGTTAGCCTCGAAGTTGGCATAAAGTATCAATTAAAGTTTAATCGTGAGAAAAGCGACACTTTCTCTGCTATCTCTGAAAATTTTTCGAAACATGTAAGTATACTCTATATGCAGAGTATCAAAGGCGCTCCTTTTAAAATAAACCAACCCGCCTTTCTGGAAAAGGTTGTTCAATATCTGGGCCGTAATTTCCCACAAAAAATCATTTTAATGGCTGATTCGAAGTATGAAATGAGAAATACTTGATACATTAAATCAAATGCCTCATCTTCAGGGGAGTCCTTGTTTAGTATAAATTTTGAACAAGGACAGCGACTTAAATAAGCAGTGACCTAAAGCACTTGTCCCTGGGCGCCGCCATGACAGGCCTAAGAGCCACCTGGCTCTAAGACATCCGATGTTGATCAGTGTTTTTTCTTAAACTTTGCATATGCTCTTGCTATTGGATTTGTTTATTTGCTGATGTTTTGGCAGATGAAAAAATCTCAAGATTGAACTTGAATTTTATGATGTTTATAACTGTATTATTTTATGACTCAATTTGCTCAATTGTCTGTGACACATTTGTGTATAATTATTATTAGGGGATTATTTTTGCGCGGTCATGAAAAAAGCAAGAGCCTCAATCCAAGACATTTTCCTTGGTCGAAATTAGCTACTGCACTCTTCAGTAGAAGACATACAGTATTTTCCCACGCATTTTGTCATGGTCATGCTACTCTCTGCTTCTTTCTTCCTGTGCCATTTCGCGAAATGGCACAGGGAATAGTGAAAGAACCAAAACATTTTACACCCGGGGTCTTGCTGATGAGAATTAATTCTGGGATGATGTGTCTTCTTCAGCAATGTTTATTACGTGGAATTTTACTCCAGAAGTACGTTTCAGGTAGTGAAAGAATAACTACCCCTGGAACATTCATGAGAGCAAAACATTATTTTTGTTTTGAAAATGAAACTGAACGGGTTTAAAAAAGTCTACGCGGGCAATTTTTTTTAAATACATAGAAAAAAGCAAAAAGTTTCAAAATTGAGAATATTCGATAACGAGAAGGAATGAAAATTCACAACAAAATCGGCTTTTGGTACATTCTTTTCATTTGAATGCCTTATGATGACTTCATTTTAGAAACTTCCCTTAAATATTACCTGGAGGCGTTTTAGGAAACACACATATTATAATAATTTGTTTTTTTATTTAAAAGTTATCCTGGGCCATACTGCTATGTTAGAAGAAAGAATGACCAGCTTGATAAACAGACTCCTAAAAACATTGACCAGACTAATGCATTGGGAAAATGCATTAAATTTTAATTTTGATCTCTTATTATTCTATTTAGGACCTTCCATGACAGTTAAAAGGGCCCCCAGCTCTTGATGGTATTTGGGCTTCCTTGATAAGATGCTCATGAAAAGTCTCTTCTTTACTGTCATTATCATTCCTGTTTAATGTTAATTTATTTTTGGGATTTTTATTTTGTGGTTATTTTATGATCAGCAGAAAAGTCCACCATGTCTCTGTGGAACATTATTCAAGCAATTTTTGAGGATTTTAAAATGTATGAGGAAATGAAATAACGCTGGTAACACTCTGTGTAAATGAAGGTGCATTAAGGTGTATTTCACTTTGTTGAATTTTTCAGATGCTCTCTTTTCAGGTGAATTTCTCACAGCACTGTGCCCAAAATTTCCCTAGAATCAAGAAAATAGCATTTTCCACAAATTACCTTTTACCAAGTTGGTGTTGGGCAAGCACGCTGTGCCTCTATTATTTGAATAAAAATAACATACTTCTTGGAAATCATTGATAGCTTATGCCCCTTCTCAAAATTGCAGTGCCAGTTCTTTTCTTGGGCCACTGTAGCATATTTGAGTCTCACTTCTTGTCTTATCAAAGGTCTTTCTAAAATAAGAAGTGAAAGCCATTGATGGTTAAAGTTTTCCTGCTATATATACAAAAATCATAATTATTATTATCATCATATCAGTTCAGTTGTTAGCCCAGTTGTGAGAAGAGTTTGCTGAGTTGCTTAATCATTGCTTGTGTGAAATATACTTTAATCTATTAATTAAAAATTCTTGGTCCTGCTGTTTCTGACTGATTGCTGGTTTTTTGCTCAAAATCAACTTATATTGCGGCGGCAATCTGTCCCCAACAGTTGGAAAAGGAGCATCATTTTAAAGAATATGCATATATTTTAGTCATATTGGCATGACTATAACATGAGCAGCACTTTTAAAGGTCCCTCATTACTTCTCATTTTGTTAAACAGTACTTCCTTTAGCTTTATGTGCATGTCCAGCTTGCATTCCATTGCTACCCAGAATACAATTCTAAATCAATACTTTTTCCTTTGGTGGTTGTGCAACAAAGTATATTGCCACCAGCTCAAATTGCTTGGTATGCATATTCCACTACCTCATTTGTCCAAACACATAAATACAGGTGACCAGCATGGCCAAACAAGCTTCTATCACCAAACTTTGCTGCAAAACCTTTTCTGAATTGCTCCATTCCACAAAACATTATTAAATCTGTGTAAAAAGGATAATAGAAGATATTCTGTGAAACATCTTTTGGAAGTGTTTTTCATACTCTTCGAAAGTATGAAATATCTTCTCCCTAAAAGTGCATGGTAAAACATAATTAAGGGTAATTTTTATACATTGATTCAATCAAACAAAAGAAGAATATCATCATCAGTATTAGCTCAGTTCAATCTTGTAACAGTTGAAGCAAGAGTTTACTGAGCAGTTGTTAACCTGCGTGAAATAGACCTTACAACAATATTTGGAGTAGTTCAAGGTGTTCTGCAGCAGGACTTAGGCTTTGGTGGTTGGTAACACTTTTGATGTGATACAGGTGGTACTTCGCAATTTGACCATCGCGAAATTTGACTGTTGAATTTGCATGGAGGTTGACTTGCAATTTGACCCTTGCCCTGCAATTTGACTTGAATTTGCCAATATTTGTTTTTTGAATTTTTGTACTAATATTTTTCAATTTAACCAAGTGGCTTTGAAATTTGACCATAGTCTGGCCATGGTTTAGGGTTGAATTGCCAGGTACCACCTGCTGTATCACAAAAGAGGCAGAGAGATTTGAGAATCCCGAAAAAAAACAACAGTTTCATGAAGGAAAAATATGTTTTTGCTGCAATGCAAGTTCAGGGATGAACGATCCCAAGAAATGCTTGGGGTGCCAGGATAAAAGTGATTAATATTTTTTCTCTCTTTCTGCCGGGTTCTTTTTGGTTGCTTTTCACATATGAGGTCAAGCTGGGTGACCTTGATTAGCGCCCCAAGATTATTCCGCCACAACACTGACGCTTTTCCCTCCTGACTTCCGTTGATTTTTCAAAATTTTTGAAATCATCAACTTGATCAACTTTTTTGTAACGTTCGGTGAGTTCGGGAAAATGCTTGAGTTTGTGCTGGGAATCCTCGGCGTTTTCGTCAGAATTCTTTTCGACATCTGCGTGTTTTGATTCTTCGAATTTTTCATTGTTGGTGGAATTTGACGCGTGATCATGTGCTGGTGACGGATGAACTTGGATGGATTGCACCATTTTGTAACCCAATTCTGCGAATTCCAGAATTTGAAGCAGTGCCTCTGCTAGGACCTCTCTGTGTTCGATGACAATGAATTCCGGTTTTGTGTTTTCATCTGCAAAAAATAAAAAAATTAAATAATCAATGCCAACATTCAGTTGGAAAGTAAAATATAAATTCCTTTTGAAACACACTATACAGCACATCTTCATTTGTCATCTGCTGGCAAGTCTGGAAAAGCAATTTCATTCTTGATTCGAAAATCATATCAAACTGTTTAGAAATTGAATAATTACTTCAATTCAAGAAAAAACCATCGAATTTTTTTTACAGCTCATGCTTATATTTCAACTGTCATGGCGGTGTCCTGTGGTGATTATTATGATTGTTCAGTTTTGAAACTTTATTCACAATGATATTATTGTGCAATATTCTAACCAAAGCCACGATTGTTGCAAATTAAAATGGCTAAACTCTAATTTGTCACCCATAATTCTGAAAAAAACGAGATTTGGAAAACTCTTTCTTGCACATCTTTGTGAGAACAGGGCGTAACTCCCCTGTTCTCGAACTTCCAAGGTTTGTATCATTACTAAAATTCGAGAAACTCCAAGGCCATCTTCTAAAAACTTTCTCTGATGGATAGCTTTTCTGATTTTTTTTTGCTCCGAGTTTTGGCATTCCGTTTTTGGACTCTCTTCCTTGTACATCACTAAAAAAGGGTCGCAAAAATTTGAAGTGTATTGAATTTTTTAAAGACTGAATTATACCAACTTTGAAATAGGGTGAAAAACCCTTTTCATAGCCCGACCAAATTCTTGAGTTTTATTCCAAAATTTCTAGTTCGCTTAAATTCTCCACAACAATAACCGCAATAAAACATTTTTTACCGAAGTTTTACACTGTTTTATGTTTTTCAGAATTTTTTTAATTTTTGGATTGTGTTATTGGTGACTGTAAGTATTCAGAATTGAATCCTATGGATGCAGATTTGTTTCCAATATGCAATTGTGAATTTGTATGTGCAAAATTTGTTTAATGGGTAGAAGTCTCGTTAAAACAAATGAATAATTTTTGCACCTGTCAAGTAGTCACAATACTATCCTAATTTTTGCTGAACAAATTTTATTTTACAAGGAAGCTTTTTCAAGGTCAAAAATAATGCTCTTTGTTACTGTTGCTGGAAATTAGAAATAGGAATTTTTTATTTCTAAAATAGGAATTTTCATTTTCTAAAAAGAGATTTGAATATCATTTTATTTCAAGAACTGTAACGCGATTTTACTATTGAATTATACTTACTATATACAGTATATAATTTCACAAAAAAGATTTTTGCAAATTGCCAATTTTCTACCGCGTTCTTTTCAAGTGTAAAACATAAAAATGTTTCGATTTGGAGTTTAAAATATTGTGGCTTTTTTGTGGCATTCAAAATATAACTGAAGAAATGAATTTCTTCTCAAGTTCGTGTATTATAGCTTTTTTAGTCAGATTTCAATAAATTATTCCATTTATTGAAAACAAATTGCTTGGGTTGATTTTCAAGGTCTTAATTTATGCCGCTGCTGTTTCTTCAAACGAAGGATGAGTCTCATCCGCTGTGGAAAAAGGTACACGCATTTATTACGAAATAAAAAATTGGCAACTCACCAGCAGGAAGTTCGTCAAAAAATTGCTGCAACAGTTGGACGATGATGTTTTCTTTTGGAACAGATGTCGCTGTTGCAGGTTTAACCACACGGCTTTCATGTTCACTGTGTTGTTTGTGATGGTGATGGGATTGTCTCTTTGACCTAGTTGCGAAATTGTGAGCGTCTCCAGTGTTGGAATTACTGATGGCTAATGGTATTTGGTTTGTGTTGGAGTCTTGCTTTTCGGGTGCGGTTGTACTAGATTCTTGCTTCTTTTGTTCCTGGTGGCCAAATGGCTGGTCGCTGTTCATTTGCACTTCGACCAAATGAGCGGGGGTCGAAATGGACGAAACGGGGTTTTGAAGACGTTGTTCTTGGCTCGTCATTGTCGACGGGCTCGTCGTATTTTTCGGCGCTTCTAGGATTTTGAGATATTTTTTAGGAGGATTTTTTTTTCCGAAATTCCCGTGTATTTTTTTTTTTAAAGAAGGGGAAGTAAAAGTGCGGGGAATTATCAGCTGTCTCATCAAAACGTGGAGCTGTTATTCCGTGCCAAAATCAACACGGAAACTTCTATGACAAGAGCAGCTTTTCGAAGAAATTCGTTTATGACTGAGTTCAAAATCGGACGCTCTTCGATTCGAAAAAAAAGAAGTTGCAGGGATGAATGAAACGAAAAGATAACTTCCTGCCCTTCCGTTTATACAAAGATCATTGGAAGCATTTTAAATTATTTCATTGAACTTGGAAGATTTTTAGAAGATTTGGAAACTATATTGAATTGAGAAGATTTTTGAGGGAATAACATGAATTTTGGATGGTTTGCTGAGATTCATCGAATCCGAAAAAAATAATTAAAATCGTTTTTGACTAGCTTCACTTATGCAGTAGTTTGAAGCAATACTTGTACTTCTTATAAATACCCTGACATTTAAGAAATGTATAAATTGTGATTGTTTTATTAGTTTTATGAAGTACAGTATATATATAGAGTCGAAAGTACTTTTTTCAATATTTGGTTTTTTGAATCACTGCTGAATTATAATGAAAAATACATACAGTACCTTTTTGAATCATTTTCCTGATTGGTCTAGAATTTTTAACGATTGCTAAATTTGAAAAAAATCGAGAAGATTGTCAAAGACGTCGATATTCGAAAACAATCCTTTTTGAATGCGTCACTCATTTTTTGTTGAAATCAGTGTTTTCTTTTGGCAGTGAATTGAATTTTCGTTGTAATGAAGATCTTGCAGAGTTTATGTAATTTAAAATGCAGAAATATCTCGACTCACCAATGATCAACACATTTTTCCCGTCGGAAACCATGAACAGAAACAACATGACACAACTTAATGACGAAATTATCGTCATGTTCACAGAAAACGTTTTTGTTTGTTGCTAAAAACAACTTAAAGAACCTGAAAATGAGTTTGAAGATGAATTTGTAACTGAAACTTCGATTTCAGATTCGAAATGAAAAAGCTTCACTGGAGACTGAGGATAAATGCGCAGGTTTTTATACTGAAATTTTTCCCGTTAAACAGAATGAAAAAACGGGAAACTTTGTAAAATATCGGGTAATTGTAATCAAAGTAATTAGGGTAATACCGCTTTCTGTTGAGTCGACAGATTTTTTTTTCCATTTGAGGGGTTTGATTGGGTGGAAAAGTAATCATGAAAAAAAATGGGGCGGCTTTTCTTTTGCACCCCTTTTTTAATTACTCATCTTGGTGATTATAAAATCATACACCCGTTAGTTCAAAACAAAAAGTAATGTAAAATTTGAAATAGCTGTGAATTCGTGCGCAGATTCTTCCTTACCGTTTTTTTTGCAAGACGAAATGTTTTTGCAAAACTAGTACCAATTTCAAGAGTACTTGTGCCAAAGATGAATGAGCCAGTGGGAAAATTGAATCTGCACGAAATGCCACGTTTTTTTTTCTGGTTCATTCAAGTTTTTATTTTTTGCGAANCTTCCTTACCGTTTTTTTTGCAAGACGAAATGTTTTTGCAAAACTAGTACCAATTTCAAGAGTACTTGTGCCAAAGATGAATGAGCCAGTGGGAAAATTGAATCTGCACGAAATGCCACGTTTTTTTTTCTGGTTCATTCAAGTTTTTATTTTTTGCGAATGATTTCTCTGAAATGTTGTCCTGGGATTTCTGCAGGAAACTCAATCCGGAAATGTTTTCCCTGTAACTTGTTTCCGACTTCCTCGTTCGGCTGAAAAATTCAACGGCTTGGATCCGTGTGAAACAACTGAGATTGACGCGATTTTTCACCAATAGTACAGGAACCCTTTTTCTGCATTTTTCTTTGCCATTTTTTCCTTTATTTCTTGTATTTTTACGTTCTTCCCCTTTGTGTATGCAAAATTCAGGTGTATAAAAAGTACCAACACAACCTCAGTACTTCAGAATTATACAATGACATGGAATTGCATATTCAATTTTATTCATGCTATATTTAAAGACCAACAAAAATTTAAAAATCCACGCATTTTAAAATGTTCAACTATTTTTTGCCTCATAAGACTCGATTCCCATGATTTATGGCTTCCCAAATTAAAGAGGAAAATTTTGATTGAAATTTGAACGAATTTATCATTATAGAAAATATTAAATAATTGGAGGAATGTGTCCTTCAGGTGTCATAATTTTTTGAAAAACGAGACTCTGCTGCTGAAATCTTAAATTGCAGCTCTCTTCATGTTAGCAAAAATAAATAAAACCTGATTATCGCAATTATATCCTAATCTGAAATTTTTGAAATAATTAACTAACTGAAACCATGTTTCAGTAATGAGAAAACGGTGAAGACGCGTTGAAAATATTTTTCCATTTTTCTATTTGATGAAATTCAATCTTGGCATACTCCAAAATTAAATTCAAAATGCGTGAGTGAAAAATTTATAAAAAAATTGTGAGTATTCTTCGAACATTTTAAAATGTCCAAGTTTTTCAAGCACGTTTGGTCAAAATAATTGAAATAAAACTACAGAATTATTTTTCTTTTTGTTTCAAAAAACAATTTATTTTCGGAACGCATCTGAAATTTTATTCACCGACGTTTTCGATTTTAATTTACATCAACTCGCGCGATAAATTATTGGAAAGAGGGCGGGTGTGAAACGAATCCGTATCTTTTATTTGCGGATATTATCTGCACAAATAACGGAAAGACGTGTACTCGTCTAGAAGAACCGTTATATTCCACAAATTGCGTGGAAAACGTGTATTTGCCAATTACTGGTTTCAATCAACCCCTGCTTTTTTTCATCTGATTTGTCCACTTTAATCTTCTCAAGTGGTTCACCGAAAATAAAAGAAAGATATAAAAACGTACGTGTCGTCCAGAATTTTCAGTGAGCTTCGTTTCGAGAACCAAAGAAAAGCTTCTTTCTTCCCTTGAAAAAAAGAAAGACATCTCGTAGACTTCAGAAAGGAAAAAGAAACAACTCGAAACCTTGCTCCGAAAAATTTTTGATCGTTTTTTAGCAACGAAATTAGGTGGAAACATGAGCATTTCTCTTGCAACTTTCGCTTTGCCAATTCTCACGTTATTGGTTTCCAACTGCGCAAGTTTTCCGAGCATCGGTGAGAATGAAGCTTTTACCTTTTCTCAAGAATGTTTCTTTTCTAAACTAGGGGAATATGACATATTTTATTAACATAAAATAGCGAAACTGAAAAACTGTTTTACTTTTCAGCTAATTATAAAAATTACCGATTGGCCCAAAGCAAGAATATGGACTTCTCCAAGTAAATTTAAAGTGTTCGATGTCGACAAAATAATTTGTCAAATGAAATATCTGCTCAACTGATTCAAAAAATTTCATTATCAAATTATTCATGACGTTATTCAAGAAATAATAACCACGTTTAAAATGAATCCAAGAATGATTTGGCATTTCTTTCATGTATATTTCTGAAATGCATTCTAAAAACTTTAATAATGAATAACTTCGGATGATCATCGAAATATTGCTGCTGAAGTAAAAGCTTATTTGTCAAATACCTTATTCGTCTTGACTCTTTGATTTTTCGAAGAACAAAAATAATCCAATCATTACTCGGATATCCGGTTTAAATTCATCCCTGATTGTCAGTCTTTCAGTATAAAATCAAGAATAAATTTATTCTGAAACGCGTTTTGAACAGATGTTTAAAAAATAAATTCAAAAAGACCTGACATAAGATAATATCAGTCAATGAATCCTGAAAAATTTTACTCTGAATTAGCTGATTCAGAAAGGAAAATAACTTTTCGAGGAAAAATGACAATAAATGAATATTATGGGTTTTATTCTTCTGAAAAAAATCCAAAAATTGAGCACAAATAATTATCAGATTCAGAATTTCAGTTTAAATTTTTTTAAATTATTCCTTAAAGAATCTAAAACTCAGGTTAAAAAAGTAAGTAATTAAAGAATCACCTGACACAAGATTATATCAATAGGATCCTGACTATTTCATCTCTTCATTATCGAGAAAAATTAGTTAATTAAATGAAAATTTTGCATAGAAATGCGCAAGTAGAAAAATCACATTCAATTTCGAATACCTTTTCTCCTTCTCAAACAATCCAAAATTCGTTTGCATTGTCAATAACCGGAAATTGGATTCATCATCACCGGTATAATTAGAGTTTTACTGTAATAGTAATTAAAAATTATTTCATAAAGTACTGCATCTGAAACGCCGTTTTGAAAATAAAAAGGATTAAAATATCACCTGACACAAGATAACATCACAAGGATCCCCAACAAGTTAACTCTTCATCAGCTAGAAAAAAAATGTAATTACATGGAAATATATAGACACTCAAAAAATAATAATTACACCTAATAACCAAATAATTTTTTCCCAGACCTAAAAAAATCGCCGCAAAATCCCCTGATGATCAAATTTTCACTGAAAAAATTATGTTCTCAAAAAAATCAGGTGAAAATGCAGTGTCACCCTTGACGACGACCCCGTCTTCGGTGTTGACCCCACAACTTCCCAGGGCTCCTCTCTTGAACAATTCCCAGTTGGTGGACGTGCAGACGACCCAACAATCGGGAACCCCGAAAATCCAGGTCACGAACCTCGTGCCTTTGGCGCAGCCAACAGCAAATAATAACAATGCAACCAACACCAACAACGATATCAATAGTGCCAATGGGGATTCAGCACAAAATCGGCCGGATGTTCTCGTGAGGCGAAAACGTCAGTCTTCGTCCGGTTGTTGAAAGGGGAAATGATTCAGCTGAAGGAAAATTTGCCGAGCCAGGATATTTTGCGAAGAGTTTAGAAGGAACGTGGTCGTGGCTTTAGTCGAAATTTTGCTGGAGAATTGATATTATGCTGTGTTGAAACAACTCGCTGAATAAAATGTATTGATGCATATGGTCATTTTAGTACAAAGTATACTCAAAGAGAAACTTTCAAAGTTGCCAAAAGACAGCCTGATGGAATTTTCTCCGATTTCACAAAAAATTGGCTTCAAAATTGTATGAAATATTTTCAAATACATGTGCAACAAACCTTACCCTGACAATTATTCTGCACCTCATTTAAAATATCACTACTTTCATATTGTTATTTCTTCCAAATAAGATTACTTTTCCTCAAACTCATGGTACTTAATGCTGTTGTTGCAGAGACAAGTGTGAAAGTTAATGTGAAAAATCAGGCATTGCACTTATTATCAATCTTGTGAGGTCATGACAGATGTCAAATGCCTTGCAATATGTGAGTAAAAAAAATGAGTACATGGCAATTGGCCAGCAAACAACCAACTGAGGGATTCAATCCCAAGAAAAGCACAAGCTCTTTGTTTCTCAGGAAGATCAAAGGGGAATATCAAAACTATGTTGCATATGCAAAAAAGCTGATGTGAATGTGAGGAAAAGAACTTGAAGGATTTTCTCAACCACACAAAAGGCAAAAAAGAATCTGAATTTGAAGAGCTAGATTTGACTATGAGCTAACAGCTTATTATTCTTGATAGACTATTTGAGAAGGGCTAAAGAGCCTTCAAACAAGTTTTTCTGACTGGGAGAACTGAAAACACGGTTC